ACTAGGCCACACCGTCGGGCCCCATAGGAAGTTTTCAATATCCCTGCCTCTAAAGGTTAATAGTTTTTGACTAATATTACAAAAGCAACACAGGAAGAATGCAATTAACTAAGTGACATAATACTGCTCCAAATCTATATTCTTTTTTTTTTTTAAAGATTTATTTTTGTTATTTTTTCATTGGCAAGGCAGATATACAGAGAGGAGAGACAGAGAGGAAGATCTTCCGTCCAATGATTCACTCCCCAAGTGAGTGCAACGGCCGATACTATGCCGGTCCGAAGCCAGGAGCCTCTTCCGGGTCTCCCACGTGGGTGCAGGGTCCCAAGCTTTGGGCCGTCCTTGACTGCTTTCCCAGGCCACAGGCAGGGAGCTGGAAGGGAAGAGGGGCTACCGGGATTAGAACTGGCGCCCATATGGGATCCCGGGCGTGCAAGGTGAGGACCTTAACCACTTGCGCCACCACGCTGGGCCCCCAAATCTATATTCTGTGAGGCCTACGTAGTCCTTGGAGGAGGGTTCAGGCATAGGCTCAGCCACAGACTAGAAATAATAACAAAAAACCCACACTGGGGCCAGCTTTGTGGCATAGCAAGTGGGGCCGCCATCTGCAACACTGGCATCCCATATGGATATTGGTTAGAGTTTTGGTTGTTCTGCTTCTGATCCAGCTCCCTGCTAATGGCCTGGAAAAGCAGGAGAAGATAGCTTGAGTCCCTGCACCTATGTGGCAGACCTGGATGAAGCTCTTGACTCCCGACTTCAGCTTGGCCAGTCTGGACCACTGCAGCTACCTGGGGAGTGGAGCAACAGGTGAAAAATTTATCTTTAATTCTGAGTTTCAAATAAATAAATGTCTTTTTTTTTTTTAAGATTTAAATCCACTCTTTCCGGTGGCGGAGTTGAGGGAAGACGCGCAGAAATGGCACCTCGCAAGGGGAAGGAGAAGAAGGAAGAGCAGGTCATCAGCCTCGGGCCTCAGGTGGCCGAAGGGGAGAATGTCTTTGGGGTCTGCCACATCTTTGCGTCCTTCAATGACACTTTTGTTCACGTCACTGACCTTTCTGGCAAGGAAACCATCTGCCGTGTGACTGGTGGAATGAAGGTGAAGGCTGATCGAGATGAATCCTCACCATATGCTGCCATGTTGGCTGCCCAGGATGTGGCCCAGAGGTGCAAAGAGCTGGGCATCACTGCCCTACACATCAAACTGCGGGCCACAGGAGGAAATAGGACCAAAACCCCTGGACCTGGAGCCCAGTCAGCTCTCAGAGCCCTTGCCCGCTCAGGGATGAAAATTGGGCGAATTGAGGATGTCACCCCCATCCCCTCCGACAGCACCCGCAGGAAGGGGGGTCGCCGTGGTCGCCGCCTGTGAGCAGGACTCCCCACATTATTTTCTGTTAATAAATGGTCATCATGTAAAAAAAAAAAAAAAAAAAAGATTTAAATCCATACTTACAGTTTTCTCAAAGAACTGATTGAAAGTGGAGCAGCCAGGACATGATCCAGTGCCCACAATGGATGGTAGTGCTTGAAGGAGGAGGAAGTTTACACAGTTGAGTCAACACACTGGCCTCATAAATCCAGAAGTATCTGGATGGAAAGTGCAGCAGCTGGGACATGAACTGGTACCCATATGGAATCCTGGCAATTAAAGTGGAAGGATTAACCAATTGAGCTACTGCGCAGGCCCAATGCCCCATAAATTTATTTTTTTTATAAATATATTTTTTCGATAATGTTCACATAGTTGAGAAGGATATATTCTCATGTGGACCACTGATTAGGTGGGGAGGGTCGAGATATGGGTGCAAATGGATGGTAGCGTGGTGGCACTAATGTCCTCACTTTGAATGTGCTGGGATAGCATATGGGCATTGGTTCTAATCCTGGAAGCCTTGCTTCCCATCCAGCTCCCTGCTTGTAGCCTGGGAAAGCAGTTGAGGATGTCCCAAAGCCTTGGGACCCTGCATCAACGTGGGAGACCCAGAAGAGGTTCCTGGCTCCTGGCTTCAGATCAGCTCAGCTCCGGCCATTGCGGCCACTTGGGGATTAATAAGTAGACAGAAGTTCTTCTCTGTGTCTCCTGCTCTCTGTACATTTGACTTTCCAATTAAAAAAATAATAATAAATAAATCTTAAAAAAAAGAAAGTGGATGGAATAACTCTCATTTTTTCCTTCTTCCTGTATCTGGGGGTAGGGAAAAGGAAAGGGAAGAGGGCTGCTTACAGCATCCCAACTGCATCAGAACCTGGCAATGGGGGATGGTTACTCTATGTCATCCTAGCATCTCAGATATGGAGCATATTTCAAGGGTACTGGTTTCTATAGTTCTGAGGTCCTGATTTCATTGCTCTGAGGTTGAGGAAATCCTTCCAAGGTCCACTGGCTCACAAAGTCCACCTTAGCATCTCCACTCGTCCAGATACTTGCTGTCAAAGCTTGGCTGGGAGAGTTGTCCAATGTGTTCTGCCACCCATGGAAGCAGACATCCTCTGTTATGTCCCCTGATGCTTCTGGGCATGCTGTCAATTGCAGAGGCTTCAGCAACCAAGGAGGCCCAATTCTGATACATGTGCTCCATGGTCAAACCACAGCTCCTGTGACTTTCCCCATGGCTGGAATTTTGAGTCCCATGGTACAGCTGGGGGAGGCCCCCAAAGAAACCTCACCAGATGTGACCCTAGACCTGACTCCTGAGTGTGCCAGGCAAGTACCGGGTCTGGCTCAGTATGTCACCCACATCAATCTACATACACACTGGTGGTTGCAGTTGCCTGGTCAGTAGTGTCTCATATGCAAAGTGACCAATGATGTGGCCAAGCCTAACTCTGCTCACCACACACTCGGCTGTCATGCACACCAGCAGGAACTGCAACCCAGAGTAACCCCCAATAACTCCCACCAGGACCAGGACCCCATAAATCTTTTTAAAAAACAAACAATAGCAGGGCCTGGAGCAGTAGCATAGCGGCTAAAGTCCTCACCTTGCATATACTGGGATCCCATAGGGGCACTGGTTCTAATCCCAGCAGCCTTGCTTCCTATCCAGCTCTCTGCTTGTGGCCTGGGAAAGCAGTTGAGGATGTCCCAAAGCCTTGGGACCCTGCACCGGTGTGGAAGATCCAGAAGAGGTTCCTGGCTCCTGGCTTCGGATCAGCTCAGCTCTGGCCACTGCGGCCACTTGGGGAGTGAGACATTGGATGGAAGATCTTCCTCTATATATAGCTGACTTTCCAATAAAAATAAAATAAATCTTTTAAAAAAAGAATATTAAAAAAAAGGCAAAAAACCCAGCGAGATACTCACATGTGAGAAAAAACAGAATTTCCGGCTCCTGGCTTTACCCTTGTCCAGTTGTTGTTGGGGTCATTTGGGGAGCAAATGATGAGCCCTCTCTGTGTCTCTCCTTCCCTTTCTGTAACTTTGTCTTTCAAATCGACCAATACATAAATATTTAAAAGAAATGAAAATTAGAGGTTGGCACTGTGGTATAGTAGGCTAAGCCTCTGCCTGGGGCACTGACATTTCATATGGGCACCAATTTGTGTCCCAGCTATTTCACTTCCTGATTCAGCTTCTTGGTTACAGCCTAGGAAAGCAGTGTAGGATGGCTCAAGTCCTTGGGACCCTGTACCTACATGAGCAAACTGGAAGAAGCTCCTAGCTCCTGACTCAGCTCTGGTTGTTGTGGAATGAACCACATTCATTTGGGGAATGAACCAGTGGACAAAAGATCTGTCTCTCTCTCTCTGTACTTCTGTCTTTCCAATAAAAACAAATCTTTAAAAATAAAATGAAAAACAAAAAAGCCTATAACAAAACAAAACATTAGGAGAGCCCTACCTTCTCAGGAAGCAGAGGAGACTCTGTATTCCAAAAAATGAGGAGGTCTGATTATCCCCCAAAATCTCACTCACTTTGTCCCTACTAGCTTCCTAGGTGCTTAACCTACAGGGGTTTGTCAAATGATTGCTAGACAAATGAACAAATGGAGAAGCACACAAGAGTATGTGACACCCCTAGGGCAAAAGGCAGCTGCCCCTGGGTCAGCGTACTAGCTCCAGCATCCCATATGGGCACCAGGTTCACGTCCTGGCTACTCCACTTCCCACCCAGCTCCCTGCTTATGATGATGACTCAAATCTAAATGGGAGATTGGCAAGAAGTTCCTGGCTACCAGCTTCAGGTTGGCTCAGCTCTGGCCATTGTGGCCATTTGGGGAGTGAAGCAGTGGATAGAAGATCTCTCTATCCTCTCTATTTAAATATGCCTTTCCAATAAAAATTATTTTTTCAATGTATTTATTTCTATTGGAAAGATTTATAGAGAGGAGAGACAGAGAGAAAGTTCTTCTACCTGCTTGTTCACTCCCCAAGTGGCCGCAACAGATGGAGCTGAGCCAATCTGAAGCCAGGAACCAGGAGTCTCCTCAGGTCTCCCACATGGGTGCAGGGTCCCAACGCCTTGGGCCATCCTCAACTGCTTTCTCAACCCACAAGCAGGGAGCTGGAAGGGAAGTAGAGCAACTAGGTCAGGAACTGGCACCCATATGAGATCCTGGCCCATGCAAGGCAATAATTTAGCCACAAGGCTATTGCACCAGGCCTAAAAATAAATAAATCTTTAAAAAAAAATACAGCTGCCTGGCTAAATGTGGGTGGCAATGCTGTTGGCAGGAGAAAGAGCCAGAATTCTCCAGCTCTGGAAAGCTTCCTCACCATGAGTAAGAAAACAGATGATGCACAGGCTTAGCAGTTTTATTTACTTGCTTTTTAAATTAGAACACAGTCACCTGGAAAAACTGGGCGGGTCTGTTTGGGTCTGTCGGCTGTTCAGGATTGACACGGTAGAACCCAGGTCTAAGTGTGACAAAAGTTCCGTAACCCAAGCCTGAAAGCCTCACTGTATTCCCCAGGTTCAGGTGCCTCATGGAAACCGCACAGAAATGGTACTTAGACCGACACGCCACCTCCCCAAGGAAACCCCAGCTCTATGAAATTTCAACAATTTTATTGACTGAATGCTTCTTCCTGAGTTTACAGCTTAAAGTAGGACCCTCCTCCTTCCAAGCCCCTCTGAGGCAGGAACTCAGCACAGGCCCGGAGAAGGGGGAGGGTAGTGTGTAAGTCAGAAACCCGCTGGTGCTCCACAATGGAACAGTAGGACAGAAAAACTCCGACTTCCTACTGCTGAAAACTATCTGCATGGAGACAGCAGTGCATCTCTGCCTCAGTTCCAATGCCTGCAGCAGAGCACACCTTTTGTCCTTCTACTCCAGGTACAGGGTGATGCTATGTCAGCCTACGCATCTTGCAGAAATACATAGGCCCAAAATTGGCCATAAGGTTTGGTATTACCAGTTCCCCAACCTGGCAAGATGGGAAGAAATAGAAAGTCTCCATGAAACACTTTCGAAAGTGGGTCAAGTCTTCCACCTGAACCTTGATGCTGTATTGGTTGGCCAGGAGTTCCATGCTACCTTGTACCACGTACTCATTCTGTAGGTGTGACAGTGAGCAGGTGGAATAGACCACATAGCCTCCTGGCTTCGTGGCAAGGAGTCCAGCCCTGAAACAAAAAGGGAGAAAAGCAATGACTAGTGAGCTTCCCAACAGTGGATAAGTACTATATGGTAGGAACACTAACAGGGGAGTCTACCAAGAGATAAGGAACTGGGGAAGACTGTCCTCAAGTTCCTCCCACAATGACACTGCCTGAAAAGTACTCTCATGGCAGATAGCTCCAAACTAACTCATGGGCTCTCCTCCAGCAGTCTTCTTTTTTCTTAAAAAAAAAAAAAAATGATTCATTTATTTTCATTACAAAGTCAGATATACAGAGAGGAGGAGAGACAGAGAGGAGGATCTTCTGTCCAATGATTCACTCCCCAAGTGAGCGCAATGGCCGGTGCTGTGCCGATGTGAAGCCAGGATCCAGGAACTTCTTCCAGGTCTCCCACATGGGTGCAGGGTCCCAAAGCCTTGGGCCGTCCTTGACTGCTTTCCCAGGCCACAGGTAGGGAGCTGGATGGGAAGTGGAGCTGCCGGGATTAGAACTGGCGCCCATATGGGATCCTGGTGCGTTCAAGGTGAGGACTTTAGCTGCTAGGCCATGCCGCCGGGCCCTCCAGCAGTCTTCTTAAAATGATCCCTTGAGCCACGATTCTAGCCTAGATTAATCTGATTCTACAGACCAAGTCCTTTCCTAGCCCTAATGTTTTGATCTTAATGGTTGTTTTTCAAATATGTTCTGCACACTGGCGCTGAGGACAAATTAGTAGGAGTGAATCTGTGTAACCCACCTTGATATCTATGACTCTATGTTCCATAGAGGGATCACCTTGTCATGCCTCTCTCTTCTGGGAAGATCCCCAGCCATAATTTCACTCTATAGCCGATCATCTTCACAAGGGCTTCCAACTCTAGAGCCCCCCATGCCTGTTCCTCCCCGCAGGAACTAGACCCCAGGAACAACCTGGCGCAAAGTTCTGAGGTTTAATAAATTGGTCACTCACGCAAGAAGCTGCATTTGCAGCATGGGCAACATCTGCCGTTCCTTCTTCCTTGATCGCTTAAAGATGTTGTTCTCCTCCTCATGAAGGGAGTGGCGGTCAGTGGTGCAGGGCACATCCACCAGCACCTGCACAGAATGTTACAGGGTAAAGTGTTAAAGCTCCTTATAGGTGGGTGTTTGGGGCCTCTGGCCTGGGAGGTTTGGTGGCGTACTCGCACCACCTGTGCTTCCATCACAGGAAACCTGACATAGCTTCTCAGACTGGGAAATAATGAGGAGGAAGGCAATACTCAGGACTATTCATATAAAAATTGGTATCAACCTACAAGAAAGTCCCCAGTGCTTTAGGGCTCTGCCTTTAGCTATCTAAATGTAAACATCAGACTCACAGGCGTTGCATGCCAACAGGGCAGCCAGTACACTGAGTGACAGGAACCAGATTCAAAATTAAAAAACAGATTAAAAACAGTGTCAGATGCAACATGGGAATATTTTAGTGGTAGTTGTAAAGTTATTCATTTACTTACCAACAGCCTACGCTATACCGGGCATTAGAGACAAAAAGACAAAAGCTTTTATAACAGTCCTATATTTATGTTTCAAAACAGAAAAATCATGTTTGGAAAAGATCTGTAAATTTTTAGTTAAGCAGAAACTCCAAATAAATTAATAATGAACCAACGTTCAATATTCTCATGTATTCCAAGGCTGCAAAAGTTGATATAGGATATACAGAGTAAGAAAAACTAATGACCACTTTGTATTCTAGTTAGGTCATGTCTCTAGAACTATTATGGGGCTGACCTTCATAGGAAAAAGAGATGTTAACTAAATGGAGATGCCTGGAGAAGAGCCACTGGGATTTTCTAGAAATTACAACAGAGAAGAAATTAATATCATATATTTCTAACAACATAGCAAACTAGATATCCTAAAAAACACTGTAACATAAAATACCTAAAAAGGCTGACCAAAATATATATTCCAAATGCTTAGGTGGAAGTGGAGGCGGTGGCATATCACACTGAGCCTCTGCCTACAGTGCTAGCAGGCAGGCACCCCATATAGGTACTGGTTTGTATCCGAGCTGCTCCACTTCCCACCCGGCTCCCTGCTTATGGTCAGAGAAAGTAGCAGAGGCTGGCCCAAGTCCTTGGACCTCTGTACCTATGTGGCAGACCTAGAAGAAGCTCCTAGGTTCAGACTGGTCCAGCTCCAGCCATTGCAGCCATTTGGGGACTGAACCCCAAGATTTCTCTTTTCGGCCCGGCACCGTAGCCTAGCAGTTAAAGTCCTTGCCTTCAATGCGCCGGAATCCCATATGGGCACTGGTTCTAATCCTGGCAGCCCCACTTCCCATCCAGCTCTCTGCTTGTGGCCTGGGAAAGCAGTTAAGGACGGCCCAAAGCCTTGAGACCCTGCACCCACATCGGAGACCTAGAGGAAGTTCCTGGATCCTGGCTTCGGATTGGCGCAGCATCGGCCATTGCGCTCACTTGGGGAGTGAATCATCGGATGGAAGATCTTCCTCTCTGTCTCTCTTCCTGTCTGTTATCTGCCTTTCCAATAAAAATAAATAAATCTTTAAAAAACTGCTTTTGGAGCTGGAGCTGTGGTACGGGTTAATCCATGGTCTGCAGTATTGGCATCCCATACAGGTTCTAGATTGAATTCCAGATGCTCCACTTCCAATCCAGCTCACTGCTAATGTGCCTGGGAAAGCAGTGGAGGATGTCCCAAGTCCTTGGAACCCTACACCCACATGTGAGACATGGAAGAATCTCTCCTGATCATGGTTCAGCCTGGCCCAGCCCCAGATGTTGTGTGTTGAGAGTGAATCAGCAGATGGAAGATACTCTTTCTCTCTATAACTGACTTTCAAATAAATAAGTAAATCTTCAAAAAATACTCTAAAATATAAAACTTACACAAATTAAAGAAAACCCTCAGAAGCAATCAATTGGCTAATCAATAAAAAGTAAAACAATGAATGGGAGCACGAATCCAGGAAGGCAAACAGAAGCTGAAGTCAATGACTTCCATCTTTTTTTGTTTTTCCACAAATCCCTAAGAACCTAAAGGCCAGGACAGAAAACAGGACCTTGGACCACTTACAGTAGGGAATTGGGAAACCAACACACTAGAAAGTCCTCAACGAGATTCCTGTTTAGCCAGAGTGAACTGGGAAAGAAAACTTAATCCAAAAAGAAGACAACAAGGGATTGTAGTGATGCAGCAGATACTATTTAGTATCTTTAAAAGGAGACAACAAAAGAATGTATCAAATGTATCTGTTTAACTATGGACAAAAAGAATGTGTTTTCTTGAGAATTTTTAACTACTCAAGAAGGGGTTTGAAAATCACACCTGCAGGCCCAGTGCAATGGCTCAGTTAGCTAATCCTCTGCCAGCAAGGGCTGGCCATCCAGCCCATTTGGGCTCCAGTTCATCTCCTGGATGTTCCACTTCAGAGCCAGCTCCCTGCTTATGGCTTGGAAAAATGGTGGAGGATGGATTGAGTCTCTGGATCCCTGAAGCCATGCAGGAGGCTGTGAGGAAACTCCTGGCTCCTTGCTTCAGATCAGCTCAGCTCTGGCTGTTGCAGTCATTCAGGGAGTGAACTATTGGATGGAAGATCTCTTTGTTTCTGTCTCTCCTTCTCTGTGTAAATCTGTCTTTCCAATAAAAATATACAAGTATTTTAAAAATAAATTCAAAATAAAAGAGCCAAGAACAGAAACCACACAGTGAAAGAAGCATAGCAAATCAACACAGTAAAACAACATAAATGAGATCAAACTTTCAGTGGCAATAACTAAGTCAGTAACTAAGAAAGTAAAATTTACAAACTGGCTCAGAGAGAAATTCAAGTGTGTGCAACATGAAAAAGACACAGTTAGAAAGAAATGATTCAACAAAGCTAAATATAAGCAAATGAGCAAATGCATAACTAACTGCAATGCACAAAAAAAGGAAAGCTGGGGTTGGTGTTGCAAAGAAAATGTAGTGTTAAGCTACCACCAGCATCCATATGGGCACCAGTTTGCGTCCTAATTGTTCTACTTGTGATCCAGTTCCCCGCCTTAGCTGTTGCTCACCTAAGGAAGCAACAGAAGATGACCCATCCGCTTCCCTGCCACCCACATGGGAGGATGACGCAAGACCAGCTTCAGCCATTGCTGCCATTTGGGGAGTGAACAAGCAAATGGAAAATTGATCTCTCTGTAAGCTCTGCCTTTAAAACAAATGTCTTTAAAAAGAAAGGGAGGGAGAGAAAATGGGTCCAATGTGATGGCTCAATTGGTTAATCCTCCCCTTATAAGTCCAGGATCTCATATGGATGTTTGTTCATGTGTCCTGGCTGCTCCACTTCCCATCCAGTTCTCTATTTGTTGCCTGGGAAAGCAGTGGAGGATGGCCTAAAGCCTTGGGACTCTGTACCTGCATTGGAGACCCAGAAGAAGCTCTTGGCTCCTGGATTCAGATCAGAGCTCAGTTCTGGCCATTGTGGCCATTTGGGGAATAGCCAGCAGATGGAGGATCTTTCTTTTACTCTCCTCTCTGTAAATCTCTCTTTCCAACAAAAATAAATAAATCTGAAGGGAGGGAGGGAGGAAAAAAGGGAACAGATGGAAAAGGGGAGGAAGGAAAGAAACAGAAAAGCAAAGCAAATAAAGCAAAGCTTTGGGAGTTTCCACAACCCAGAAAGGAGACAGAGTCTATAGATTCTTTCCCTACTCCTTGTCAGTGTCCTCAGGAAATGGCTAGAATTCTTGGGAAAATGGTTGCAAAGGATACTGAGCACAGCTGGATTCCTGATCCCTGGCACATGTAAAGAGCAAAGTTAGGTGATTTCAGGGGGAATATAAATCAACGGCAACTCATGTGAGTATCTTGATTCTAACAGATCCTTGTTTCTGAGTCAATACTGTCCATCGTGGTAAATGTTGAGCTCAGGCACAGGAGAAAGAAGAAGATGCTCTACTGCACTGCACTTAGAGAGACAGGGAAGCCTCACTATTCCACACCAGGTGCAGCACAGGTGTGTGCAGCAAGCAGGGCCCCGGCCCAGCGCGCATGGGGCCCAGCATGCATGGCCATCAACCCTAAGCAGCCAGCGCTGCTAAGGGGTGACCAGAGCTCAGTCTTAATCTTGGGTGCCTGTCTTGAATACACGTGACTTCTTCTATTATATGAAAACATAGAAATGTGTTCAAATGCATATTATTTAAAGTAAAATTAACTCTCAAAAAAAACGAAATCACAAAGAAAGAAAACTGGTAGCAGGTGGCAGGTAGCAGGGGCAGGGTCTGACCATGAACACGAAGAGCCCATGGGCCTTGTCCTTTCTCCAGCTGATGGACAAGTGGAATTAGAGGAAGAATTGACCTAGAGTGCCTGGAGCCCTGAGACAGCTTTCTTCTTTGCTCCAAAGTAGTTAATATTTGTCTACCACATTGGCATTTGTATACGATTTGGTCAACAAATAAATGACAAGCATTTTCAAGATAGTTAAGTTTGTTTTGAAATGTCTGAAACACTGCCAAATCAAATGAGAGGCACTGGTTTACACTGTGCCAAAAATCATATTATCAATGAATGTAAAAAATGAAAATGATAACGTTGTGATGGTATTGAAGCTTGCTGTATTCCAAGCATTATGATGTTTTTGTTTTTGTGGTTTTTTTGAGACAGAGAGCGAGTGCTGCCATCCACTGGTTGACTCTACAAATGCACCCAAAGTGGCTGGAACTGAAGCTAGGAGGAGGGAACTCAAACCAAGTTTCCCTTTTAGGTGTCAGGAACCCAATTATTTGAGTCATTGCCATCACCTCTTAGGATCTACATTAGCAGGATACAAGAGTCAAGACTCCAAGTATCAAGCCTAAGTATTTTTTTTTTTATTTTAACAGGGGAGAACGCAAATGCAGTCGCCCACTATCACAAATTACGCAGTTGAGTTTCCCACATTTGGGGAAATCGCACAGGTCAGCACATCTGGAGTGCAAAGGATAAGCCTCGCCCTGGGAAAACCACCTTCGTGATCATGGTATCTCCCCTGCCAGGTAAGTATAGCCTAAGTATTTCAATGATATGTGAGAATCTTAACTGACATCCTACTTGTGACTCTAAAAGCTCACTATTAAATGCATTCTTACTCATTCGTCACCTATAGAATAGGCATGACTAATAAACTCAGTTTACAGATGAATATGAAGCTTAACTGAAAGGTTTTAAGAAACTCAGCAAACTTCTCTGGTTGATAATCCAGGTAGTCTGCCTGCAGAATCCTTGTACTCTTATATCATGCAATCTACAGATTTGAACTCAGATTTTGAACTTTCTAATACCAGAGGTGTCAAACAACAGCATTTCAGTGAGTCTCTGTAAACAGGAGCGAGCATGGACTGAATGAGGATGAAGACCAGCTGTCCAATCGCAGCCAGGTGCTTCACCCAGTACCTTCCCTTGATACGCTTAGTGAAATCTCAGCCATCCTGCATGGTATGATTATCCCAGCTCACAAGTTGGGGAATATAAAGCTGTTATTTTCCCTCTGCAAGGCATCCACCCCTCCAACACAGAACATCTGTGTTTCCTGCCCTGAATAGGCTAGTCACAGGCTGCTCCTCCTTGCATGGCTGCCTCCTGCCCTTCTCAGAGGAATGGCCTTGTTTGCCTTCTGGGAAGACAATTCGGCTCCCCAGCCTCACAGCCTTCATCCAAACAGCCCAGACCAAAAGCTGCTCTCCCACACTCATAAAACAAATAGACACCATTTAAATGCACCTGTTTACAGCCTGCTTCAGGCTCCTGTATTCTCTTATAGAGTCTGCTGGATCCCCCTCTGCCCACCTATACAAAGCATGGTTCCTATCCCATTGAGCTCTCAGTGTTTTGTCTCCCTTTTTCTTATTACATCTCCTAACACACGCAGCCTGATAAGATCAGCAAGTGGCAAATACAAACAAGTCCTCAGGCTCCTGCACCCATGCAGCAGACAGGAAGAGAATCCTGGTTCCTGACTTTGGATACGTACAGCTCTGACCATTGCATTCACTGGAGAAGCAAACCATGGATGCAAGATATCTCTGTCTCTTCTCTCTTTGTAACTCTACCTTTAAAATAAAAATCTATGTCTTTTTCTTTAAACATTTATTTATTTTTATTGCAAAGTCAGATATACAGAGAGGAGGAGAGACAGAGAAGAAGATCTTCCATCCGATTATTCACTCCCCAAGTGAGCGCAATGGCCGGTGCTGTGCTGATCCAAAGCCCGGAGCTTCCTCCAGGTCTCCCACACCAGTGCAGGGTCTTTGGGCTGTCCTCGACTGCTTTCCCAGGCCACAAGCAGAGAGCTGGGTGGGAAGCAGAGCTGCCAGGATTAGAACCGGCGCCCGTATGGAATCCCAGCGCGTTCAAGGCAAGGACTTTAGCCACTAGACCACACCGCTGGGCCCGAAATCTATAAGTCTTAAACAAAACAAAACAAAACAAAACAAACAAAAAAAAGAGTGCAGGGACTTGAAACGGGACGCATACAGGATGCTAGCGTCATAGGCAGCGGCTTAACCTGTGTGCCAACACCTTTTTCAATATTTTCTTTCTTTTTATTTACTTATTCTTTTTTTAGAAAGTCAGATTAACAGCAAGAGGAAAGACAGAAAGATTCTCCACCTGCTGGTTCACTCCCCACGTGGCCACAGTGGCTGGACGGGATGTAAATTACATACCACCAGTTCGGCAAAAAGCTAACAGCAGCTGTGTTGGCAAAATATAGGAAAAGATGTACTTAATGATTACCAATAGAAGTGAAACATTTTTGTTGCCGTTGTTTTTTAAGATTTATTTTATTTATTTCAAAGGTATAGAGAGGGGCAGAAAGATCTGCCCACTGGTTCATTCCCCAAGTGGCTGAAATGGTCAGAATTAAGCCAGGGTAAATCTAGGGGCCTGGGAATAGGAGCCCAAGCATTTGGGTCATCTGCTGCTCTCCTAGGTTCATTAGCAGGGAGCTACATAAGAAGTGGTGCAGCAGCAGAGACTTAAATTGGTGCTCTGAAACATGGCTGCCACAACCCACAACACCACAATGCTCACCTCATGAAATTCAAATTCCATAATTTAGCAATCCCTGTCAAAATCTTCTTTTTAAAGATTTATTCATCCTTATTAGAAAGGTAGATTTACAGACAGAAGGAGAGACAGAGAAAAGATCTGACTGCTGTTTCACTATCCAAATGGTTGCAATGGATGGAGCTGAACAGATCTGAAGTCAAGAGCCATGAGCTTCTTCTGAGTCTCCTACATGGGTACAGGGTTCCAAGGTTTGGACTATCCTCTATTGCTTTCCCAGACTATATGCAGGGAGCTGGATGGGAAATGGAGCAGCCAGGTCATGAACCAGTACCCACATGGGATGTCGGCCCTTGCAGATGGAAGATTAGCCAATTGAGCCATTGTGGTGCCCCTTCCCCTCCTCATCAAAATCTTTAATGGATACAAACTATTATCCAGCAGTTATATTTCAAAAATACAAGAAAAATTAATGAGGCTGAAACTCCATGGTACATCATTTAGTGAAAAAAAAATGTTTAGAATAGTAAATATACTACCACTCCTATCTTTAAGATTTAGTTATTTGCAAGAAAGAGAGTCTTACCTCTGCTAGTTCATTCCCCAAAATAACCACAGCAGTCAGGTTCGGGCTAGGCCAAAGCCAGGAGCCACAAATTCCATCTGTGTTTCCTACACTGGCGTGTGCTAATATTCTGCTAATATGCCTGTTGCTTTCCCACTACTCCAATATGGTTGACAGCACTGTAAGTGATAGTTTAATTGACTGCAACACAATGCCAGCACCTAACACTCCTACTGAGACAGGAAGAGAGACAAGGAACAGATGTTTGGCTTAGCAGTTAAGATACCTGCTCCAGGACCCGGCGCCATGGCCTAGTGGCTAAAGTCCACACCTTGAACACACTAGGATCCCATAGGGACGCCAGTTCTAATCCCAGTGGCTCCACTTCCCATCCAGCTCCCTGCTTGTGGCCTGGGAAAGCAGTCGAGGATGGCCCAAAGCCTTGGGACCCTGCACCCGTGTGCGGCCATTGCGCTCACTTGGGGAATGAGTCATTGGACGGAAGATCGTCTCTCTCTCTCTCCTCCTCTCTGTAGATCTGACTTTGTAATGAAAAGAAAATAAATCTTTAAAAAAAAAAAAAAAGATGCCTGCTCCCGTATTAGAGAAGCAGGACTACTGACTCCAGCTTCCTGCTAACTGCAGACCCTTGGAGGCAGAAGTGATGGCCCACGTGACAGGGTTCCTACCCACCTCACCAGATCTTTGATCTCAGCTTGGTCTCACCTGTTGCAGGTTTTTGAGGAGTGAATCAGTGGGTAAGAACTATTTATCTGTTTCTTTATCTCTGCCTATCAAATAGATACAATTTTTAAAAAATTTAATTCATTCATTTTTAAAATAAATGAGTAAAAATCTCAAAAAGAATTTTTTAAAAAGTACACACACACACACACACATCTATTTATATTTATAAACAATCTATTTCAAATAATACAGAAAAAGATAGACACAGTGTTTATCTGTAGAGAGGGGAAGTAAACTCTCTTTATAGGGGTAAAAGGAGAGGCCAGCATGATGGCTCAACAGGCTAATAATGCAAGCAATGGCATCGCATATGGGTGCCAAGGAGATCTGGAAGAAGCTTCTGCTTTGCATCAGCTTAGCTCCAGCCATTGCGGCCATTTGGGGAGTGAACAAATGTATAGAAGATCTTTCTCACCATCTCTCCTTCTCTCTGTAAATCAAACAATAAAAACAAAAAGGAAAAGGAAAATTTGCCTTTCATTGGACACTCTTTGTATCTTCTGAATTTTGTATCATGTGCTATATTTATATTCATAAATAAGTAAAACTGAATTTATTCATACTTTCATGGGATTTTAAAATTTTTAATTTATTTTTAATTTTATTTTAAAGGTAGAGAAAGAGATTAATTTTCTATCTATAGTTCACTCGTCGGCACCCAAGGCTGGGCTGGCCCAGGCCAAAGAATTCCATCTGGGTCTCTGAAGTGAACGGCAGGGACTCAGGCACACTGACTGGACTCAAACCAGACACTCTGATATGGGATGTAGGCATCCCAGTGGCAACTTATGCTGCTGTGCCAAATGCCCACCCCCTTTACAAGGGTTTCTGAGTAACCAGGTGACTTGAGAAACAGAAAAATAGAATAAGCCTGATACATTTTCCCCCGCCAACTATCACAAATGAAGGTATCAGCCAGTGATGTAAATTGAACTGACAACATTGCAGGTTGAGTTTTTACTTCTGATCAGGTCTAGAAACAGCCTACATGTTCAAATGCAGGGTCTGGATCCTACCCATTCAGGGCCTGGGGCCAGGAGAAGAGGCTAGACTTATTTGAGCAGATGTCCCAAATCAGGGATCACTCACCCGGTCATAGGTGTCTCCCTCCAGTTCTCCCCACTTCCTGCCATCCCATGAGGTGACTCGAACTACATCCCTGACACCTTGAGGTACATAGCTGTGAAGGATGTTCTGTAGTCTGCCAGTCCTGGAAGTGGAGAGATCATTGGCAGCAAGATGCCCTAAGGAAATAAAGATAATTCAGAGGCCATGGTCCAGTGAGCATCCGCACCAGCAATGGTGCTGACAGACCGACTCTCGGGCAAGGCAATCGAGGCAGATTCCAAGAGTAGGGATTTTTGCTACGTGCATGGCACAGTACCAGTTATCCTGGAGTGGCTGTTGCAAAGGCAAACATCTGCATGGGCCAGAAAGGCTAAGAAAATAAACCAGGGGTCGGTGCTTTAGAACAGCAGGTAACGTCGCTGTCTAGTATGCCAGCTTCCCATATGGGCACTGATTCAAGTCCTGGCTGCTCCACTTTTGATCCAGCTCCCTGCTAATGGCCTAGGAAAGCAGCAGAAGATGGCTCAAGTCCTTGAGTCCCTGCACCCATGTGGGAGATTGGGACAAAACTCCTGGTTCTTGGTTTTGCATCAGCCCAGCATTGGTCATTGTGGCCATTTGGGGAGTGAAACGGCAGATGGAAGAGCTCTCTGTCTCTCTATCTCTGCCTTTCAAATAAATAAACATCTTTTTTTTTTTTTTTTTTTTTAAAGCTTTGGGCTGTACTTGACTGCTTTCCCCAGGCCACAGGCAGGGAGCTAGATGGGAAGCAGGGCTGCCGGGATTTGAACCTGCGCCCATATAGGATCCCAGTGCGTTCAAGGCGAGGACTTCAACCACTATGCTATTGCGCGGGCCCAAATAAACATCTTTGAAAAAAATAAATGGGGCCCGGCGCGGTGGCACAGTAGTTAAGGTCCTCACCTTGCACGCCCGGGATCCCATATGGGCGCCAGCTCTAATCCCGGCAGCCCTGCTTCCCATCCAGCTCCCTGCTTGTGGCCCGGGAAAGCAATCGAGGACATCCCAAAGACTTGGGAACCTGCACCCGCACGGGAGACCCGGAAGAGGCTCCTGGCTTCGGATCAGCATAGCATCGGCCTTTGCGCTCACTTGGGGAGTGAATCATTGGACAGAAGATCTTCCTCTCTGTCTCTCCTCCTCTGTATATCTGACTTTGTAATAAAAATAAATAAATCTTTAAAAAAAAAAGAAAAAAGTAAATGAAGCAAATCAGGTAAGAATATTTCTTAAGAAATATGCTCTCCCCTACTATTCTTCCCTTTTAAGATGTATTGATTTATTTGAGAGAGAGTGATAGAGACATCCACTGAATTACTCCCCAGATAGCCACAATAGCCAGAGCTGAGCTGATCAGAAGCCAGGAGCCAGAAGCTTTTTCTCCCATGTGGGTGCAGGAGCCCAAGGATCTGGGTCATCCTCTGCTGCTCTCTTAGGCCATAAGCAGGAAGCCGGATCAGAATTGAAATAGCTGGGACTAGAACTGGCACCCACGTGGTATGCTGGTGGATGTAGGTGGAGGATTAGCCTACTGAGCCACCACACCAGTCCCATCTTACTATTCTTTAATTATATCATGTGGCTCTCTTCATCTTTAGATATTAAAAATTATTTACTTCTTATTGCATAGTAATAGAACCCAGATTTCATTAAGAAAGGGCAATGTGCCCCAAAAGACTGTATTTCCCAACCTTCTTTTGTAAATAAGTATGACTATATGACTAAGTCTTTATTTTTTTAAGATTTATTTTATTTTTCTTTGAAAGGCCCAGTTACTGAGAGAGGGCGAGATAGAGATTTCCCATCCACTGGTTCACTCCTCAAATGACTACAACATCCAGAGCTAAGCAGATCTAAAGTCGGGAGCTTCTTCCATGTCTCCCACATAGAGGTAGGGGCCCAGCAAGGACTTGGACAATCCTCCTCGGCTTTCCCATGTCATAAGCTGGGAGCTGGGTCTGAAATGGAGCAGCTAAGATCTGAACAGGTTGCCTATATGGGACTTTGGTGCTGCAGTCAGAAGCTTAACCTACTAAGCCACACTGCCAGCCCCTATGACTAATTGATTAATAAGTTACAGGTATAGCAAGTAAAGCTGCTAACCTGTGATGCTGGCATCCCATACAGATATGGGTTCATGTCCTAGCTGCTCCACCTCCGATCTGACTCCTTGCTAGTGGCCAAGGAAAAGCAGCAGAAGATGGCTCAAGTGTTTGAGTACCTGCTACTCACATGGCAGTCCTGGAGGAAGCCCCTGACTCCCATCTTCAGCCTGGCCCAGAGCTGGCTACTACACCCATCTAGGGTGTGACCCACTACACAGAAGCTCTCTCTCTGTATCTCCCTCTAATTCTAACTTTCAAATAAATAAATAAATATTTGGAAAAAGTTAACATTAAAAAATAAAGTAAAATAATATTAAAAGATTAAAAACAAGTAGTAATAGCATTTCTGAAGAGCTGACACAGGAGTAAGTGTTTAAGCAGCAGCTGAGACACTTGCATCACACACTGGAGTATCCACGGTCGCTGCCCAGCTCTGGCTCCTGCCTCCAGCTTCGCATGGATGCAGACCCCACTGAACGGAGGCAATGGCTCAAGCAAGACTCAGGCTCCCCATTTTAGCTCTGGCTTAGTCCTAGTCACTGCAGGCACTTGGGAAGTGAGACAATGGATCATAGCTCTCTCTTTCTGGCTTTTTTTTATCCATCTCTCAAATAAACATATTTTAAAAAGTTAACACATCAAAAAAGGGCGCGGTGCAGTAGGCTAATGACTTTCAGTCACCAGGATCCCATATGGGCTGCTGTCCTGGCTGCTCCACTTCCCATCCAACTCCCTGCTTATGACCTGTAAAAGCAGTCGAGGATGGCCCAGAGCCTTGGGACCCTGCATTGGCGTGGGAGACCCAGAAGGAGTTCCTGGCTCCTGGCTTCAGATCAGCTCAGCTTTGGCCGTTGTGGCAACCTGGGGAGTGAACCAGCAGACAGGAAGATCTTTCTTTCTGTCTCTTCTCTTTGTAGATCTGCCTTTCCAATAAAAATAAATCAACTTTAAAAAAAAAGGTTAACAACAAAAAGACAGAAGTAGCCTATGAGAAAAGCTTCTTTTGCCCAACTTTCCTCTTGTTTTAAATTTAAACGTTATGACTGCAGTCCCAGCACCTATCTTAGATCATGAGGCAATCTTAAGGATGATGCTAGCAATAAAATAGATTGTAATAATGCAAATCAAGGACCCGGTGCAATAGCGTAGCGGTTAAGGTCCTTGCCTTGAACGCACTGAGATTCCATATAGACACTGGTTCTAATCCTGCAGCCCCGCTTCCCATCCAGCTCCCTGCCTGTGGCCTGGGAAAAGCAGTTGAGGACGGCCCAAAGTCTTGGGACCCTGCACCTGTGTGGGAAACCTGGAAGAAGCTCCTGGTTTCGGATTGGCTCAGCTCTGGCCATTGCAGTCACTTGGGGAGTAAACCAACGGATGAAAGATCTTCCTCTCTGTCTCTCTCCTCTTTGTATATCCACCTTTCCAATAAAAACAAATAAATCTTTAAAAAAAAAAAAAAGGGGGGGGGAATCAAGCTCCTAATAATTTTGGAGGCTCCATCCTAGGACAGACTTCTTTATCCCCGCTCCACTTATGAACAGATCACTGCTTCTTCTTTAAACTACTTTGTTGGGTTTTTGATTGTACGCAATCAACCTTTATTCTGATTTATAAACTACCTTTCATGTTCTTTTTTTTTTAAGAATTTTTTTTTATTGGAAAGTCAGAATTTACAGAGAAGGAGATAACAGCTAGAGAGAAAGATCTTCCATCTACTGTTTCATTCCCCAACTGGCCTCAATGGCTGGAGCTGAGCCAATCTGAAGCCAGGAACTTCTTTTGGGTCTCCCACGTGGGTTCACGGTCCTAAGACTTTGGGCTGTCTCCCATGCAGGTGCAGGGTCTCAAAGCCTTGGGCCATCCTTGACTGCTTTCCCAGACCACAAGCAGGGAACTGGAAGGGAAGTGGAGCAAGCAGGATGCAAACCGGTACCCGTATAGGATCCCAGCACTTGTAAGGCAAGGACTTTAGCCACTAGGCTACCACACTGGGCCCTTGTTTCTCTCTTTTTAACAAATTTATTCAAGGGCCCAGTGGCTAAAGTTCTCACCTTGCACGCACGGGGATCCCATACGGGTGCTGGTTCGTATTCCAAAGGCCCCGTTTCCCATGTGCCTCCCTGCTTGTCGCCTGGAAAAGCAGTTGAGGACTGCTTTGAGACTCTGCACCTGCATGGGAGACCTAGAAGAGGCTCCGGGCTCCTGGCTTTGGGAAAGCTCAGCTCCAGTCATTGTGGCCACTAGGGGAGTGAATTAGCGAACAGAAAATCTTCCTCTGTGTCTTGTTCTGTCTGTGTTTCTGACTTTACAATAAAAATAAATAAATCACTTCCCTCTGCTGACTCATTCACAAGTGACCACAAGTGTCAGAACTGAGCCCTTCTGAAGCCAGTAGCCAGGAGCTTCTTCCAGGTCTCCCACACAGGTACAGGGTCCCAACGCTTTGGGCCATCCTCTACTGTTTTCCCAGGACACAAGTATGGAGCTGCATGGGAAGCAGGGCTACCAGGTTCAAACTAGCGCCAATATGGGATCCCAGCACATTCAAGGCAAGAACTTTAGCCACTAGGCTATGGCAGTGGATCCAAAATAAATAAATCTTTAAAAATTAATCAAGAACAGCCCAGCAGCGTGGCCTAGTGGCTAAAGTTCTTGCCTTGAACGCGCCAGGATCCCATATGGGCACTGGTTCTAATCCCGGCAGTTCCACTTTCCTTCCCATCCAGCTCCCTGCTTGTGGCCTGGGAAAGCAGTCAAGTACAGCCCAAAGCCTTGGGACCCTGCACCCCTGTGGGAAACCTGGAAGAAGTTCCTGGATCCTGGCTTCGGCTCGACATAGCATCGGCCATTGCGGTCACTTGGGGAGTGAATCATCGGACGGAAGATCTTTCTCACTGTCTCTTCTCCTCTCTGCATATCTGACTTTCCAATAAAAATAAGTAAATCTTTAAAAAAAAATTTAATCAAGAAGCAGGGAGGCAGAGCACATCTCCTGATTCATGTTGTTTGGGTCAGCTCAAATGACTGCAACAGCCAGAGCTGGACCAGGCCAAAGTCAAGAATTCAATCCTGGTTTCCCATGTAGATAGCAGGGGATACAAGTACTTGAGGCAATACTGCTGCCTCCCAGGGTCTGCACTGGCTGGAAGCAGGAAGCTGGAAGCAGGTATTGGAGCCCGGAATTGAATCTAGAAACTCCAATATGGGATGTTGTCATCTTAATTATTAGGCCAAATGCTTACCCCTTTTTTTCTCTTTTTTGATCAACATGAATTCAAGAAATAATCCACTGTGTTCTTAGCTCTACTACAAGGAAACATTATTGAAAGCTTCAGAATAAATTATAGTTGATATCTGGATTCAGAGTAAAGGAATGACAAGGCAGGATGGGAACTGTGGTGAAGAATTATAGTATATATCTTATCCAACAGGAGTGGCTGTAAATGTACCCATATTTAAGGTCATTCGGAGTAAAAACTGGGTGTTTCTTCTGCTCTAGGAGAATATTCAGGAAGATCTGAACTGAAAAAGGGAAAGGCCTTCTGGTTCTGGTTTTACTTCCAACTTTTGCAAGACTCAAGCTATTTATTCTCTCCAGAACACAGTGTTCCCTCCATGAAATATGAGGGTTAGACTAGGTAAACTCTAAGTTCCTTTCTGGCGATGGAATTCTGTGTTTCTGAGATCAAAGGATCAGTCAGCTGGGAGAGGCACACAAAAGAAGGTGAAGGGCTGGGAATTCAGAACACCCCAGGAGAGCAACTCTCAATTACTTCTCCCATGCCCTGTTCTTCCTCTTCCAAGGAAACCTAACACTCACACAGCTCCCTGCTGATGGGTTCATTCTGACCAGCGCAGCGTACATGCCACACTCTGGCACTGAACTCATTAGGTCCACATCAGGATCTTCTCTCCTTGTCTGGCCTTCCAGAAGGCTCAGACCTGCCTAAATCACCCACGGACTGATCCTGAGCCTACAGGCTAACTCACACTGTGCAAACTAGCTAGCAGATTCCTGCTAGTATGAACCCATGCAGACAGCAGATGGTTCAAGTACCTGGGACCCACACGGCAGAGCCAGATGGAGTATTGTGTTCCTGCTTCAGTCTGTCCCAGCCATTTAGAAAGTGAGCCAGAGGACAGATTTCTGTTTCTGTGCCTTTCAAATACAATGAAAAGAAATTCTGAAAATAAGCAAGCACCATCTACCATCCTAACTCTGATCTCGGGACCCACTATATTGTATGACCCTCACTAGGTAAGGTGAGGCATCCTCCCTCAGGCCCCACCACCCTGACTTACGGCAACAGCCAGTCTGAAGTAATGCTAATGTCTTTCCTCCGGGGGCCGCACACAGGTCAAGTACAGTGTCTCCAGGCTGCAAGCCAAGGGCCAGGACAGGCAGCAAGGAAGCAGCATCCATCAGGTAGTAGTCCAGGACGCCCTGGCTGCCAAGTCTGGAAGAGAAAACAAGGTACAGTCAAATCGCAAGACAGAGTGCGATGGGAGTCAAGCCCTCCAAGTCTGTTATTAAGGAGCCCCTGAGCTCCACTCAACAAAAACTCACTTCTCAAACCCATACTCACTTGTTCTACTTATCATTCATCCACACAGTAGTAGCAATGATCCTCTGAGAACACGGGTCAGAGGCAGGCATTTGGTGCAGTGGTTAAGAAGCTGCTTGGGAGGCCTACCTTCCATACCAGAGCGCCTGGGTTCAAGTCCCAGCTCTGCCTTCCTATTCCAGCTTCCTGCTAATCCATACACTGAGAGGTAGCCCACAATGGTCCATAACAGTCAGGTCTGGGCCATGCTGAAGTCAGGTGCTGGAAACTAAAGCCCAGCTTCCCTAGTGTCAGGGATCCAAGAACTTGAATCATCACCTGTTGCCTCCCAGGGTGCATACTGGCAGGAAGCTGGAGCTGGGAGTCGAGCTGAGACTCCCAGCTCAGCACCTCAATATGGCAAACATGTCCTCAGCAGTGCCCTTACCACAGTACTAAACAGCTGCCCCAATTTTTCTTTAAAGTATTTACTGTTTTATATGTATAGGTGTGTGTGTGTACATGTGTATTTTCTTCTCTATTAGAATGTTAGCCCCACGAGGGAAGATTTTGTCTGCTCAATTTGCTATAATATGCTCAACACTTGAAACAATGTCTGGCACATAATATGAATTCAATTTTAATTGGTTACATATTGAAATAACAAAGTGCTTCCCGGATTCAGAGAGAAGAGTTGTCAATTGAATTAATCAGGATAAACTGAGGTGGGTCTCATGAAAGAATAAAAGGCCTTAGTTAAATGAGAAAAGAAGGTAATAGGCAGGCATTTGGTATAGTAGTTGAGTGGCCACTTGGGTTGCCTGCTTCCCATGGTGAAGTGCCTGGTTCAAGTCCTGGCCTCTGCTTCTAATCTAGCTTCCGCTAAAGTACATTGTGGGAGGCAGCAGGGGATGGATTAAGTACTTGGGCCCCTTCCACACGCATGGGAGACCCAGATAAAGTTCTGGGCTCCTGGCTTTGGCTTGGTTCAGCTCCAGCTGTTACAGGTATTTGGGGTGCCAACCAACGGACAGAAGATAGCTATCTCTGCCTCTTCACCTTTCAAAAATAAATAAATACATTAGGAAAAAAAAATTCTCTGTGCTAAAGAGTTTGGGCTGTAGCCTGTAAATTACCAACATTTGTAAGGAAAATGACCTGATCAGACAAACCTGGAGTTTTGAAAATTAAATAGACTAGAAAGAACAAATTAGAGACAGGCATTTGGCAAAGCAGTTACCATGCCACTTGAAGCACCCATATCCCTTACTCAAATGCCCTGGCTCACGTTTCACTCCCGATCTACCTTCCTTCTAATGCGCATCCTAACAGGAAGCAAGTGATGACTTAAGCACTTGGGTCCCTGCTATATTCCCTCCTTATTTATGTTGCAGACAGTTTCAGGGAGTTCCTGGATTCCTGAACCATATCCTGAACTACCGAGAAATTATGATCACTTTAATATTACAGGGATCTGATCAAGATAAAATGGGAAAGAAACCCAAACACATGATAGAGGTTCTGGTGTAGGGACCAAGGGCTTCCAGCAATGTGCTGTGTCTACTTCCCCCGGTACTTAGGTCCTCCTTGAGCACTGCCAATTATCACAGAGATCCAAACAGAGGTGTGCCCGATTCCCAAGCCCAGACTTGTTAACACCCTGCAAGACAACCGTTCACCTGCTTAGAAACCCTATTTGGTGGGTCTCCACAACACCTGTTTTGGCACATGGCCTGAAGGTGCCCAGCCCTGGCAATCCCTGCCAGCAACCCTGAGCCACCAGAAAAGTCCCTTCTCTCTAACCTATAAGCTCCTGGCATTGAAGGTCCCCACACACTTACCTTTCCAGCTTCATCTCTCAAGTAGGTGGCTTTTCCTCATACCTGTAAAGTGCCTGATTTGTATAATTATTTCTGGCCTCTTTTAATCTGCTTCCAACACACTATCTAGACCTGTTAAAAAAATTCAAATCTGTCTATTCTAGGTTTTTTGTTTGTTGGTATGTTTCAGACAAACAACAAGGAAAGCTTAGAATCAGACAGGAAATGGCCAGCATGGATTCACTCATACCTCACTAGGTGGGGCAAAAAGATTAGTTATGCCTCACTGGGGTATTGGGGATTTTTCTGCACACCCCTCCTAAAACAAACAAAAAAAAAAAGTTCTGTACCTAAACTGATGACACATGTCTTGCTAGAGTTATAAGCCAGTTCAGACCATCCAAAAAACAACCAAGTTCAGCAAAATCATACTTCAACACTATAAACTGCTAAATACTAAAATGAAAATAGACACGAGACAGCTGAATAGTAATCTATAGCCATTCTGAGGTGTATAGAACCCGGTTGAATATAAACCAAAATTGAAATGTCTATGAAGAAGTCACAGGATGTGGTTAAGAACCTGCATTTTCCTATTAACATATTGGTTAATCAATACCATGTCAATTAATGCCATAATACTGTAAATTGTTGTTGATGTTATGTTGGGGCTTTTGATTGGGATAATACTTTGCTGGCTTTACCTTCAGACCAGAGATGGTCTCACCAAGAAATCATTCAATTCACTAGGATAATAAGATGTTGGACTTTATGCTTGCTAAATACTTCCAATGAAAGAATCTCAACTGAATTTGAACTGTGGTAATGCAACAAGGTGGAGAAATCCACCATGGGGCGAGGGTTTGGGGAGAGGTGGGGGGAATCCCAGTGCCTATAACACTGTCACATAATGCAATGCAATTAATAAAAAAATAAAATAAAAATTCAAATCTAGGGCTCTAAGGTTCATGGCTAAATCCTCGCCTTGTAAATGCCTGGATCCCACAGGGGTGCCAGTTTGTGTCTCAGTGCTCCACTTCCCACCCAGCTCCCTGCTTATGGCCTGGAAAAACAGTATAGGATGCCCCAACACCTTGGGACCCTGTACCTGTGTGGGAAATACAGAAGCTCTTAGGTCCTAGCTTCAGATCAGTTCAGCCACAGCAATTACAGCCATTTGGGGAGTGAACCAGTGGCTGGAAGATTTATCTCTCTCTCTTTCTCTTAGTAAGTCTGATCTGCTTTTCCAATAAAAATAAATAAATCTTTTAAAAAGTTTTTCAAATCAAGTCTGGTGCGGTGGCCTAGTGGCTAAAGTCCTCATCTCTCGTCCACCAGGATCCCATATGGGTGCCGGTTCTAATCCTGGCAGCTCCACTTCCCATCCACCCCCCTGCTTGTGGCCTGGGAAAGCAGTAGAGAATGGCCCAAGGCTTTGGGACCCTGCATCCACATGGGAGACTCCCTCCCCCCTGCAAAATCTCCTGGCTCAAATTCAAATCTGACCACATCATTCCTCAGTTTATAATTGTTCAGGACTTCCATTCCCTTTATAAAATTCAAAATTTTACATGGCTTATAACACCTCGACAATTTGGCTCCTGCCTGCTTCTGTAGCTTCATATTTAGGTTTTGCTCACTCAACATTCTCCTGCCACCAACTCTAATTCTTGCTCAGGTTTCAAGTTTTAATTTTCACTTCCTCAGAAAGTATTTATTTATTTGAAAGGTACAGTTACAGAAAGAGAGGGAGAGAGATCTTCCATCTGGTTCACTCCCCAAATGTCCCCTTTGGTCAGGGCTGGGGCAGGCTAAAGCTAGAAACCTGGAACTCCATCCAGATCTCCCACATTTGTGACAGGAGCCCAAGGACCTGGGCCATCTTCCACTGGTTTTCCAGGCACATTAGCAGGGAGCAAGCAGAGCAGCCAGGACCACAATATCCTGTATGGAATGTGGCATCAACAGGTGGCAGTTTAACAATGACCACATCACCCTGCTGGGCCAAGAGGCAGACATGTGACACAGAGGTTAAGATGCTGCTTTGGATGCCCACACTCATATCGGAACGCCTGGTGTGAGGCCCAATCCCTTTCTTTCCAATCCAGCTTCTTGCTAATGGAAGTCCCAGGAAGCAGGAGGACATGCCTCAAATTAGTTTACCCCCATGCAAGACACATTCTGACATGCAGGTTCCTGGCTTTATCCTGACACAGCCCTGGCTGTTGTTCTCTGTCTATGCTTTTCATTAAAATAAATGAATCATAGTTTAAAAAGAAAAGAAAAAGGCACACCATCATGTTAGCAATATCATGGTCTTTATTATAGATGGCAGGAATAAGTCTCATCATGTCTACTTCTGGCAGGTACTCAAGACGCTGCTAGCAATGGCTCTAGACCTTACCTGGCTGGACTGAAGCGACTGACATCTCCTCTGGCAAAAGTGAAGCATCGAAGGTTTGGACTGCAAGCCCAGGAGGCTGGGGTTGCACTTGCAGATTGGTCACCCTCAGACTCCAGCTCCCAGGAGGTGATGGCTTCAGTCACAAAGTCCCTGGCATTCAGCTGCTCCAGGCTGGCACTCACATGATCCCGAGCTGCAAAGTTATTGACCAGTGCACCGTACTTCTGCTCTGACAGGAGACTGACACGGATAGACGGCCAAAGGTCCCCAAACTGCACGCTGTAGGTCATGTCAAAATTCTGCAGGGCCAATTGGCTGGCAGTGAATTTGGGCTCTGTAGCAGCCTAAAAAAGAAAGTACAGGCTTACTGACCTCAGGCTCGCCTCTGTTTCCTACTGCTGAACTGTCCCTTCTTTGCCCCGCAATACTGTAGAGTCCAGGGAGTAGATCTGATGGGTCCAGCCAGTGCCTGCTCCTGCCTTTGCACACTGACTCTGTGTTCCAGGAGAAATGTGAGAGCAAAATGGGTGAAGCACTGGCTTCACCACCTCAGAGTCATGAGAAAAAGGAACCTGGGACTCAAAACAAACATGAAGATCAGGGGCAGGCACTGTGGCACATGCTAAGCAGCCTCTTGGGCTGTTCGCATTCCATATCAGATTGCCTGGGATGGGGTTCTGCCTCTGCCTCCCGTCCAGCTTCTTACTAATATAAATTAGCCTGGAAGGCAGCAGATAACAGCTGAAGTACTTGGGTTCCTGCCATCCACAGGAAAACCATTCCTGGCTCCTGGCTTTGCCCTGACTACTGCAGGCATTTGGGAAGTGAACCAGTGAATGGAAGACTTCTCTCCTTCTTACTCTCTCTCACTCTCACTGCCTTTCAAATAAATAAATAATTCTTTAAAATGTGGAGAAGTTACTTAAAAATTACATGTGGGGCTCATCAGTAATAGGGAGAGGGACCTTGGCATAAGAGAAGTTTTAAAGGATAGCAACTCAGAATTTTTCTGAAGAGCCTACTGGAAAGAAACTATTACAGACCTGGGATATTTTCAGGCTTAAAGGCAAAAGATCCTTTTCTCCTGAACAATCAAATTTTCCAAAGCACATTCATGTCTGCTGGCTTCTGTGAGTGAAAGTAAGAACAGCAGTACTCAGTAAGATGCAATAAAAACAACCGCCCATATTTGATGGAGAAGAGGGTAACCTACCTTCAGTCCTGCAGTGCCTGGCAGCACATGCTCAGAATCACAGGGCTGGAGGTTGTGTGGGGAGAGTTCCCAGAACTCAGGAAGGTGGGAAAGGGAGAGTTCACTGGAGGTGTGAACCAAAACAGAGACTTGTAGGATGACTCTATGGGATTAGCACAGAAGGATCAAAGTCAGGTTTGAAGATTAAAAGGGAAACAAAGATTGCAGAAGGGAGGTCCGTAAACCGGTCCTGGCTGCCTGCCACAGCTGGGATGTTTCTATGGCTTGTGGTCTTGTTATGACAACTTTTACTCTGGCCTGGATTACTGGGCTGGTCAGAACTTGTGGCTCTGGTCTTCATTTCTTGCCCTGGTGGGGACTCCTGCTCTGGGTGTGATGTTTTGTACGGTGAGGACTCTTGCTCTGGCCCTGGCTTTTGCCACGCTGAGGGCTCTTGCTCCGGCTCCTCCTCCGCTGGGGACTGTTACTCCGGTCCCGATTTTTGCCACGAGAACCCATGCTCCGGCTTCGGTCACGGTGAGAACTCTTGCTCTTGTCCTGAGCTTTGCTAATCTGAGTATTCTCACTCAGACCCAACTGAATTTTCTTGCTCTGAGCCTCGTTTTTCTTGCGGTGAGGACTGTTGCTTCGGCTCCGACTTGTGCTACGATCGGGACTTCCGCTCTGACTCCGACTTGAGCTATGATGAAGTCTCTTGCTCTGGGTCTGACCGTTGCCATGCTTCATACCCTTGTTGTAGTTCTCATTTTTGTTCTGTTTGGTATTCTTGTTCTGGTTGTCACTACTGTGGCACTCACTAATGATAACAGTTGAACTACAGCTAGGATTACTGCTACAGCCAGGACTCTTAGCTGAAGTCATAGGACAGCTGTAGGGGATCTTGGGGGATTCTTTGCGAGGGCCTTGAGGGGCCACAGAGTAGGTGTGAAGGCCACATGGAACAGTAGCAGGGCAGGCCCGGGCTCGCGGACCAATGGGTAAACACTGGGGGTCAAAGGGTGTTCTCAAAGGGATAAAAGAATAGATATGGGTAGAACAAGGGGGTACCACAGGCTGGCAATGGAGTACGGGTGGGGCCTTGGGAGTACTATACATGCCACGTGAGGGCACCGTGGGCTGTCTGTAACAGCGAGGGAGTCCTGTAGAGTGACAGAGGGAACCAGAGAGTGGGAAGGCATGCTGGGCAGGAGGCACCACAGAGTACACATGGGTATTGCAGGGAGGTCCTCTAGGGAGCTTATGGGGGCTGCTCTTAGCATAGCTACTGGATAAGAGAGGATCACAAGGAAGCCGGAGAGGAATGCAAGTGGGGACGACACTTTTGAGGGTTCTAGAGACCACAGTAGGTGGGGTAGTCCCTGGGGGAAATTCTCTGGGGCAGGAATTTGAAGGCATTTTGAAGGATGGCTCCATACAAGAAGGTCCAGAGGGGGGACAAGGAGGCGGAGGAGGTGTGCTGGCCTTAGGGGGACTGGGCTGGCAAACAGGGGTGTTTGCGGCAGTGTTGACCAGGGAGCGACACCTGTAAACAGGATATGGCTGTCTTAACTCTGCTTTCGGGGACTTCACTTGGGGGGAGACTGGGGTAGGCAGTGGGGGTTCATTGTAGCTTCTTTGGGTAGCTGACTGGGGTGTACACACAAACTGCTTGCCCAGGGGTAGAGGGACACAAAGAGCAGGATAAGCACACTGGGGAGGAGGTGGTTCCTGGGAACAGGAAGGAATAGAAACCATGGTGTCTGGGTTTAGCAAGAGGTAAGTGGTCTTACCCGTGTCCCAGGTCAAAAAGCAGGGCTTCCTGGGAGCCTGGGATGGGGGTGAACAAGGAGAACTAGGAGTCCCAGGGGGTAGCTGGATGGCACAGAAAGCGCCACCAGGGGCAGATATGTGGGCCTCAGAGGAAAGATGGGAGTAAAGATAAGGCCCCTCCTGAGGTGAGTAGGGAGAGCCCGGTGCACCTGCCTGAGGAGAACATGGGGAGCCACAATTTTTCTCAGTGGCCAGATCAACCGGTGGTTTAGGTTCACAAGAATCTGGAGGCTTAAGGCAGGCATGGTAAAAGCTGCCAGCAGGTTGGGAAGACGCTGGGGAAAGAGAAGGGTTATCACTTCTCCCTGATGTCACATGAGAAAGCAGAGGGGGGATCACTGCCCTAGTTTCCAAAATCCTGTGAGAAAGACCTGGCGAGACAAAAGGTCTATTCTCCAAGGGCTGGTGAGCCACCAGGGGAGTCACTGTGAGGCCAGTTCCCAGGGGCCCGCGGGTTAGAGGGGGCGAAACGAGGGGACAAGGTCCCTGGGACCCATGGGCGAGGGAGGGATGAATTGCGGAAGTGGTTTCCAAAGATACACGAGTGAGCTGAGGAGAGGTCACCGGATTGGATGCTGGAGGCCGATGAGGGAGAGTAGGAGAGGCCACTGGACTATAACAGACGTAAGAGTGCTGGTCAACGCAAGAGCTGGGAGTGCAGCGAGGCTGTGTTCTCTGGGAACTGATCCAGCTGCAGTAGGTATTCCGTGGATGGGGAGGGGGTGACCCTAGAGGGCTGAACCGTTCAAAGCAGGGGCTGGAAGGGGGTGAACCAGCAAAACTGGACCCGCCACAGTAGATCCTTTCGAGAGAGGAAGCACAGGTTTCAAAAGAACATCTCCCATGGCACAAGGGAGGTGGTGGGGTCGGGCAGGGTGGTGGCGGGGGTGAGGAGGTAACCACCGGTCGAGGCAAGCAAGGGGGCGAACAAGGCATGGAGGAAATGCCCACACCACCGGTGAGGCAAGAGTAAGGGTCTCTGAGGGGAGAGGGATCGTGGCATCTTTGGCTTGCGTTTGGGGACTGGCCGGTGGTTTGGGCAGAGTAGTCGTAACCTTTCCTGGGTGCCAGGGGCAGCTCGAGGGTGAGGAACGGGTTGAATCCTCTCCCGCAAGGCGGCGAAGACCCAGAAGGGAAGGGGAAGTCGCTAAAGCATTTCTCGAGGGGTGAGGGCTCCCTGGTTGGAAGTTCAAGGAGAAAAGGGGGAGAAGAGGTCATGGAGTGGGGGTGAGCAAAAAGGGGAGGGAGGGGGAAGATAAGCAAAAAGGGAAGGGAAGGGAAGGGAGGAGGGAAGTGGGAAGGAGAGAGGGGTCAAGGGAAAGGAGAAGAAGCGGTGGCATAACGGAAAGAATGAGGACGGAGTGATGACGTAACTAAGAGGGGCGGAGTCAAGCGGTCATACACACATCAAGACAGAGCAGAAGACAAAATAAAAAAGGAGAGACAGAAGCGGTGACGTAACAGACCCGAGAGACTGAGGCTTCCTGAGCAGTGAGGGGCGCAATTGAGCGACCGAGGGCGGCGAGTGGACGGGCAGCAGACGCTCCCCGAAGGGCTGTTCCCCACGCCCCGCACCCCGCCGCGCCTCTGCTGGAACCTACCCATTTCTTCTTGTGTCGATGCCTCCGCGGGATCGTAGCAAAATCCACACGCCTCACTAGTTGCCGAACACATCTCAGCACGGGCGCAGCCATGTCAGCGTGCGTCGCCGCGTACTTCCGACCGGAACCACAGCCCGAGAGCCGCAGGTTCCGGGGAGGTGGTGCGCAGCGCTCCTGGGGACCGGAGCGGGAAAAGTGAAGGCAATTTCATCGCACGCTGTCCGGCGCTCCGCCTACTTCTCCCTATCAGGTGCAAACCTCACCTTGCCGCCCACACCACCTGGAAACTAATAGGGGTGTTGGAAGAAGAAAAACCCGGCTCCCTGAACGTTGCTCCGGGTACGTGCTACAAGTACGAGTGACTCCAGAAATGCTCCTAACCAGGGTTCAGTACCAAAGGGGTTAGCTAGGGGAAAAAAAAGGAGGTGGGGTGGGTCCAGGAAGGGCCTTGGCATACATTGCCTAAAGATCCTGCACTAAGGAGCAAAAGCAAATTATAGGGAAGCAAGTCAGGTGTTAAGTTTCAGACGCTGTTATTTGTCCAACCCCTTTCAAGGTTGCATATTTAGTTTTGCATTCATTATCTCTTTTTATCTTTGAAATGCAGAGTTACCGAGAGCGAGAGGCAGACAGAAACAGCTCTCCAAACCAGGAGCCCAGAGCTTCCTCTTCCTCATCTACCATGTGGAGCAGTGTCCCAAGCACTTGGGCCATCTTTCACTGCTTTCCCATGCACATCAGCAGGCAGCTGTGTCCGGAAGTGGGGCAGCCAGCCCCCACATCCATTTTCTTACAGAAAGCCTCCAAAGTTATGTAAGGCTTAGGCCTCACAGCACTGGACCCCAGTACACATAGTCAGGTGTTTTCAGAAATGAACATCTCACAGTCAGTGATGATTTGATTAGGTAGTAATGTTAGTGTGGTGGTGTGAATATGGAAAAAGGAAAATGGGTTCCATTTTTAATTAACAATTACAGAACTGATACAGTAGTTCCATAGGCTTGCACTGTAGCACAGTGGGTTATGCTGCCACATGTGACTCCAGCATCCCAGACAAGACTGTCCTGTTTGAGTTCAGTCTGTTCCACCGCCGATTCAACTTATGACTAATGTACCTGGGAAAACAACAGATGGCCTAGGTACTTGAGTCCCAGATGACTCATGTTGGAGACCCAGATCAAATTTCTAGCTTCGGCCGGTGTGGTGGCGCAGTGTTTAAAGGTCCTCACCTTGCACGCCTGGGATCCCATATGGGCGCCGGTTCTAATCCCAGCAGCCCCGCTTCCCATCCAGTTCCCTGCCTGTGGCCCAGGAAAGCAGTTGAGGATGACCCAAAGCTTGGGACCCTGCACCCGCGTGGGAGACCCGGAAGAGGCTCCTGGCTTCAGATCGGCATAGTATCGGCCGTTGCGCTCACTTGGGGAGTGAATCATTGGACGGAAGATCTTGCTCTCTGTTTCTCCTCTCTGTATATCTGCCTTTCCAATTAAAAAATAAAATAAATCTTTAAAAATAAAAAAAAAAATTTCTAGCTTCTAGCTTCAGCCTGGCTCAGACATAGCTGTCATGACCCTCTGGGAAATAAACCAGCAGATGAAATATCTGTCATTCTGCTTTTCAAATAATGAATAAACAAGCCTTAAAACAAATACATATCTTTTTTCTCTTATTTGCTACCGAACTTTTAAAAAAAAAAAGTTATTTATTTTTATTTGAAAGTCAGATTTCACAGAGAGGAGGAGAGACAGAGAAGTCTTCCATCTGCTGGTTCACTCCCCAGGTGGTCACAATGGCCAGAGCTGAGCTAATCTAAAGCCAGGAGCTCTACCCAGGTCTCCCATAAGCAGCACCCATCTGCTGCTTTTCTGATGCATAAGCAGCATCCAGTGGAACATCCAGGACGCAAATTGGTACCCATATGGGATGTCAGAACTGCAAAGTAGAGAACCAACCTGATGAGCCACAGCACTAGCCTCCCAAACAATTTTTAAGAATTTTTGGGGAACCCAGTGCAGTAGCCTAGTAGTTAAAGTCCTTGCTTTGTACATGCTGGCATCCCATATAGGAACTGGTTTGTATCCCGGGTGCTCCACTTCCAATCTGACTCCCTGCTTGTGGTCTGGGAAAAGCAGTAGAGAACAGCCCAATCTTGGGACCTTGCTCCTGCATGGGAGACCCAGAAGAATCTCCTGGTTCTTGGCTTCAGATGGGCTCAGCTACAACCATTGTGGTCAGTTGGGGAGCACACCAGGAGACAGATTTTTCTCTGTTTCTCCTCTCTGTAAATCTGACTTTCCTTAAAAATAAATAAATCTTTAAAAAATGATTTTTAAAAATTTGATAGATTGGGAGAATCAGAGATCCTCCATCCATCCCCTAGTTCATTTACCAAACGGCCACAATAGCCAGGGCTGGGCAGGGCTGAAGCCGGTAGCCAGAATCTTCATACTGGTCTCCCACGTGGGCAGCAGAAGCTCAAGTACAGGGGATATCTTAGACCGCTTTCCCAGTGACATTATCAGGAAGCTGGACTGGAATTAGAACAGCTGGGATTCAAACTGGTCCCCATATAGGATGCCAGCATCACAAGCAGCAGCTAAATCTGCGTACTACAACTCGAAACCTTAAAGACTTAATTTTTTTTTTATAAAGATTTATTTTTATTATTTTTTCATTGGAAAGGCGGATATACAGAGAGGAGAGACAGAAAGGAAGATCTTCCGTCCGATGATTCACTCCCCAAGTGAGCCGCAACGGGCCGATACTATGCCGGTCCGAAGCCAGGAGCCTCTTCCGGGTCTCCCACTCGGGTGCAGGTTCCCAAAGCTTTGGGCCGTCCTCCACTGCTTTCCCAGGCCACAGGCAGGGAGCTGGAAGGGAAGCGGGGCTGCCGGGATTAGAACCGGCGCCTATATGGGATCCCGGGCGTGCAAGGCGAGGACCTTTAACCACTTGCGCCACCGCGCCGGGCCCTAAAGACTTAATTTTTTATATTATTTTATTGATTACATTGCATTTTTAAAAAGATTTATTTATTTTTATTGAAAAGTCAGATATACAGAGAGGAGGAGAGACAGAGGGGAAGATCTTGCATCTGATGATTCACTCCCTAAGTGAGTGCAACTGCTGATGCTATGCCGGTCTGAAGCCAAGAGCCAGGAACTGCTTCTGGGTATCCCACACGGGAATATGTTAAAAGACTGCAGTAGGGGCCCGGTGTGGTGGGGCAGTGGTTAAGGTCCTCGCACGCCCGGGATCCCATATGGGCGCCAGTTCTAATCCCGGCAGCCCCGCTTCCCATCCAGCTCTCTGCCTGTGGCCCAGGAAAGCAGTCGAGGACAGCCCAAAGCTTGGGGACCCTGCACCCACATGGGAGACCTGGAAGAGGCTCCTGGCTTCGGACCGGCATAGTATCGGCCGTTGCGCTCACTTGGGGAGTGAATCATTGGACGGAAGATCTTGCTCTCTGTCTCTCCTCTCTGTATATCTGCCTTTCCAATGAAAAAATAATAAAAATAAAATCTTTAAAAAAAAAAAAAAAAGACTGCAGTAGGTGTTCTGATGCAGTTTGAGTCAAACTTGGGACACCCGCATCCTGTATCAGAATGACTGCAATCTATTAGTGCTTCCACTTCGGATCCAGATTCCTTGCTCACATGCCTCAGAAGCAGCAAATGACTCAAGTACATGGGCTCCTGGGTTTGATCCTGTGCAGCCTATTTTTATAGACATTTAGAGAGTGAATAAGCAGGTAAAAGATCTCTGCCTTTTTCCTGTCACTCAGCCTATGCCAAAATACACTTTTTTTAAAGATATATTTATTTTTATTGGAAAGGTGGATATACAGAAAGGAGAGAGAGGAAGATCTTCCATCTGATGATTCACTCCCCAAGTGAGTGCAACAGCCAGTACTTCGCTGATCCGAAGCCAGGAACCAGGAACCTCTTCCGAGTCTCCCACGCGGGTACTGGGTCCCAAAGCTATCCTGGGCCACAAGCAGGGAGCTGGATGGGAAGCGGGCCGCCAGGATTAGAACCGGTGCCCATATCGGATCCTGGCGGCATGTTTAAGGTGAGGACCTTAACCACTGTGCCATCGTGCTGGACACGTCAAAATACATCTTAAAAATATGTAAGAGATGAGGCCAGTGGTTCAACAGGCTATTCCTCTGCCTCCTTGTACCAGCATCCCATGAGGGACTTGGTTCATATCCCAGCTCCTGTACTTCTAACTGGGGAAGGCAGCAGAATTTGACCCAAGTCCTTGAGCCCCTGTACTACATGGGAAACCCAGAAGACTCCTGATCAGTTCACCTGTGGCCACTGTGGCCATTTGGGGAGTGAACTAGTAAATGCAAGATACCTGTTTCTTCAAAGTTTTTTTATGACATTTTTAATTGGAAAGTCAGATTTACAGAGAGGAGACAGAGAGCTCTCTCTGCTGGTTCACTCCCTAAGTGGCCACAATGGCTGGGGCAGAGTCAATCCAAAGCCAGGAGCTTCTTCCAGGTCTCTCACGCAGGTGCAGGGTCCCAAGATTTCGGACTGTTGTTTACTGCTTTCTCAGGCCACAGGCAGGGAACTAGATGGAAAGTGAAGGAGCCAGGATATGAACCAGCACCCTTATGGGATCCTGGCACATGTAAGGTGAGGACTTTAGCTTAGGCTATGGTACCAGGCCCTTAAATCTTTAAAGGAAAAATGTAGTAGACACACTTGCTCTTAAAGGCTCACGACCACAACCTACCTGGTGAAAGGCTTCTTCCCAGCCCCTCCTATCTAACCATCTGGAAAATAACAGAGCAAGGGTGAGTTGGATTTGACCAATGATTTGCAAACATTTTCATCTTAGGACCCCTTTACCTCCAAAAACCTTCATTTTTGTTATCTATTATTCTTTAATATTACACCAAAATCTGATGTTAGTTTCCATAAAGGGTAGCAGCAGTGTCCCTTCTAGCTCCCTGTTTGTGGCCTGGAAAGACAGTGGAGGACGGCCCAAAGCTGCTTTGGGACCCTGCACCCACCACATGGGAGACCTGGAAGAAGCTCCTGGGCTCCTGGCTTCGGATTGGCTCAGCTCTAGCCGTTGCAGCTACGTGGGGAATGAAACTAGTGAACTGAAGATCTTCCTCTG